CATATTTAAGCTAGAAGCATTTCTTTATTTAAATATCACTTAAAAAAAAAAAAAAATTTCACTTGAAATATCTCTGCACACTTTTGAATGTAATTCAAATACACATATATAGAAGAAAAATGTAAGGATAAAATTTCAACATGATTTATTAAAAAAATATTTTTGAACAACAATTAAAATTAATCTATGATGATAATATTTATTTGAATTAATTTGTTAATTAATTTTAACAATTTCAAATTTCACTATTTAGGCATGTAGTATCAGTATGTATTGACATAACACAATTTGGTATCGCTGTTGTTTACCTGATATTATCAGCTAAAAATATAAGCGATTTTATTGATGCATTCTTCAAAATTGAAATATCATTTTGCTATGTGATATTAGCAGTTGGTATTTGCCTTCTACCTGTTACATTCCTAAAATCTCCACAAGATTTCTGGTAATTTAACTTTTATAAATATATGTAAAATAATTCTGTAAAAAAAAAAAATCTAAACACACTGATACAAAAAAAAAAAAAATTCAAAATATATCTTAATTTTAAAATGTGATTAAAAAATTTATTGCAAATTTTAGAATTCAATAAAATGTAAACTTTCCTGTGTTTTAATAAATTATTTATCTTAGCAAAAAAAAAAAAAAAAAAAAGAAATTCCAAAATAATTCTGAAAAAAAAAAGAGTGAAAAAATGAAAATAAAATGTAAAATAATTGTGGAAAATGAAATTAAATATATTTACTTATTAGGTGGGCTATAATATTAGCAATGATTACAACAGCTGCTGCACTAATAATGGTTATGATTGGCGCTGTAATGGATTATTCCACTTGCGCTCCGGAAAGAGAAATAAATAATAATTTCTTGCCAACAAATTATTTCCTTGCACTCGGAACAATTTTATTTTCATATGGTGGACATGCTGCATTTCCAACCATTCTTCATGATATGCGGAAACCGTATCATTTTACACGATCATCCGTAATGGCATTTCTTAGTAAGTTAAATTCCGGTTTTCTTTTTTTTTTCACATTTTCTGAATTTAAAAACTAAAAAAATTTATTCAAAATTTTGAATTCACTCTCTTACACAATTAAAAGATGTCAATATATTGCTAATTTAATAATTTTAAATATATACTTTTCATCTGTCATACTTTAAATCAAACATTGAATTACTATTTGCAGTTGTGTATTTGCTTTACACGCCAGTTTGCGTTCTGGCTTACATGACGTATGGTAATTCATTACGTGAATCGATTCTGAATTCCGTTCAAAATACAGCACTACAGCAAGGCGCAAATATTTTAATAACGCTTCATTGCATACTTACACTTACCATTGTATTTAATCCTCTCAATCAGGAAGCTGAAGAAATTTTTAGCGTCCCACATCGTTCGTTCTTTTCTGTAATTAGCTTATTTCAATTTATAATTAAATTTCAAAGAAAAAAAAAAAGAACTATTCAAATGTAAATTTATAGATTAATTTCAACAACCATAATCATAGCCATAATATTAATAATGATAAAAGCAAAAATAGCGGTGACAATAGTAATAAATAACTTTTATTATAATTATATTTGGCCATTTATTTACCATGAATACTTTGTTATTTAAAAAATTATAAATTTAAAATAATTAATTTTAGATTTTTGTTGGCAAAGAGTATTGGTTCGAACTGGTGTGATGTTAACAGTGGTTTTTGTTGCAGAAAGTGTACCTTCATTTGGACCTGTATTAGGTTTAGTAGGTAGTTCAACCTTAACTCTTACTGCACTCATTTTCCCATGTCTTTTCTACCTGTATTTAACAATTGGCGATGAAATAGCTGAAGAAAAAGGAAAGAAAAAACCAGATGAGATACCTTCTTTAGCTGAGTTAGTTTAAATTTTTTCATTTTAAATAATTTCTTTTTTTTTCTAACAAAATAATTTGTGAAATTTTTTTTCTCTTTCATTTTTTGAAATATGATTTAGGATTGTTGAAAAAAAACAAAAATTTATATATTAAATATCTATATGTTTATAAATTATCAGTGATAATAATTTGAAAAAAAAAAAAAGATTTGATTCATTCTTTCAAAATAAAAAGAAAAAAAAGAAAAGAAAAATTGAAATGCAAATTAATTTCTTAGAAAAAAAAAAAAAAAACATAATGTATATTATTTGTAGAGTTTTATTACGATCACCCAGACGGCGTTTAATTATTTGTTCATTAATTATTGGTAAGTTAATTATTACTTTCTTCTTATTTAATTCCCAATAAATTTTCATTTGAAACTTTTATTTAATAAGAATTGATCTCTTACATAGCATATAAGATAAGAACTGATATGATATGATATGATATGATAAGATATATATTATCTAATGAATGAATTTAAATTAGAAAAGATTATGCATATCATTAAATGTTATTTTTAATGTTATTTACTTAATATTCACACACAAATTTAAATCAAAGTAATCAATCAATAATGGTGCAAAATTTTTACAATTATTTTTTGATAGATAAAAATATCATTCGCTTATCACTCAAATAATAAAATTTTCTTTGTATGCAAAATAAACAAAGAATAATAGAAAAATATATTTTGCATCAATTAAGTCATATGATCTGTTTAATCATGTGAATATCAAAAGTGATAATTGTAAACATTCAGTTATTATTATTTTTATTATTGTTACAGTTAGAAGAGACAGATTGCGCTTTTATAATTTGCGCTTGTAGTAACATTGTTGACAATGGAAGAAATCAAAACAGTTTTTGAGAAATTATAAATTTTTTTTTTTTTTAACAAATCATTTGATAGTTAATACTTTTGTGATTCATATGTGCATTGAATAGGATAGATTTAGCTTATTTATGCATAATTTTTAAAATCAATGAAATAATGATAAGTCATTTTATCATTCTTTTTTCTTTCCATATACTTACGAAAAAAAAAAACGGAAACTTTATTTAAAAAAAAGGTCAAAGTTTAGTCATATTTGATTTTTTTTAAAAAAAAAAGACTTTATTCAAAACGAATCAAAGTTTAACTATATTCGATTTTCTTTTTTTTGAGAGAGAGAGAAAAAAATAATTTGTTACAAAATTAAAAAACAAAAAAAAAAAAGAAACCTAATTAAAATTTGTTGCAAAATTAAAATTAAAATTTGAAAAATTAGAAGATCAATTTTTTTACAGCAAATAATTTTCTTCCAAAATGTTTTAACAATTTTTTTTTTTTCATATTAATATTTATGAGAGAGAGAGAGAAAAAAAAATTATTTGTAAAAAAAAAAAAAGAAAACTAATTATGTAATGAGTTTATTTATTAAAGTAAGCGGATTGATCGGTGGTTGTTTGGCAACTTATACATCACTTAAAGAATTGACGACAACACGTTTCACTACACCATGCTACCTTCAACCATTTGTCTCGTCGACCGATTCAAAAGGTTCCGACGGTTACCTGAACTGTTGTGGTGTTTGGCAGAATATTTCACGATTAGGTGACAATTCTGACTGTAATCCATATTTGGATTTCTATAGTGGGAAATGAACTGATGAAATGCATATTTATTGCATTATTTTTTTTTAAAAAAAAAAAAAAAAAAAAAAACAAAAACAATCATTGAATAATCATTTAATAAGAATTTTTTTTTTTTTTTTTAATGTAAAATTAATTGTTTGAGTATTATTTTTTTGAAAAATTCACAGGGTTATTTATAATTTCAAAACTTAAAATTATTTCTAACATGTTAAACATTATTTTTAAAATTTTGAAAGTTTATTTTGTTAACTTGCTATAGAATAATTGCAGGCAAAAAAAAAAAAAAAAAACATTATCGTAAAATTATTTAAAGGAATATATATATATATAACTGAAAAATTCGATAATTACTTCATTTCAGTTTTTAATTCTTTTTAATTTTTTAATTCCGATTTTCAGTTATTTATAAAAGCAATTCAACAATAAATTTTTTTTTTTAATTCATTGAAAATTTTAAGTAATTCTATTGCGAACTTCCTGAATACTTTTAATTTAATTTTAATAAAAAAGTGGCATAAACATACATATATATATAAGTATACATACATATACATATATAAATAATATACAGTGCTATTTTTGTTTTTATTTCATATAAATAATTATTGAAATGCACATATATATATACATAAGTTATAATTAAAATGACCAAATTTGATAATAATCAAAAGTCATACAATATTTTAATGTATTGATTAAATTATTTACTGCTAAATGATAATTTTAATCCTTAAGTATTGTTATTTTGTCTTACTCTTTTATTTTTAAAATTAAGAACATTCTTGATCATTTCTGTTTTCACAAAATTATTTTTTAATTCAAATCAATTCTAAAAACATATAATTATAAAATTTTTATGTTAAATTCATCATTACAACTATTGAGTGTGATAAAAATTGCAAAAAGAAAGTATTTTTTGAAAAAAAAATATTTCAAGATCAGTTTAAATTGTGATTTTTATGTGCATAGCATTTCTTTTCTCTTCTTACTGATTTCAAATGCTTACTTTTGTTGATTGCCATCATTATTTGTAAATAAATTTGTCATATTTATCTTCTTTGACAAATTTACCTGAATATGTTATTATAATGACATGCAAACAATATTATTATTTTTCTTTTCAAAAGTTTCAAAACATACGATACTGTATATATCACAACTGCATGATAAAATCAATGAACCAATAAAAAAAAAAAAATATGTAAATTATAAGATTATGATTTAGAAATTATAAAAATTTTAAAGATTTAAAATAAGACCGTATGTTTTTTTTTTTTTTTTTTGTTATTTAAAATATGAAATTTGAAAATTCAAATAACTTTATGAATTTGCATTTTTTAAAATAACAAATTTGAAAGTATGAAAATCATGAAAAGTAATCATTCATACAAATTTGGTGTTTTCAAGAGTGTGTCTTCCGGATATTTGTGCAATTGAAATATTGCAAAAGGATAGGATAATGAATGAACGACTAACATTATCGACGACATCTACCATTCAGTGAAAATGTTGCAAATTATTGAAAAACTGAAAAGAAGAAAAACTTTTAAATTTATTTCTGATAATAAAAAAAGAAAAGGAAAGAAAGTTTAAAACTCGAATTTCAAGATGGATTGTATAAAACTTTTGACAATATTACAAAAAAAAAAAAAAAAATTTTTTTTTCGTGTAAAAAATTTCAAAAATTTCAAGAACGAAACAAATTAAGCAAAAACAATATAAATCATTAAAAATTACACAATAAATAATTTTGTAGAAATTGAAAATTAATTAATGAACATAAACATTTGAATTTGCTTTTCTTTTTTTTTCAACATTATTGTTACTTTTTGTAAAAGTTACATTATTTTTCATTCCAACTTTATTGCTTTCTCTTTCAATGTAAATAATTTTTCTTGCAACAACAAAAAAAAAGAAAGGCAAAAAAGTTTTGTATAAAACATATGTATTTAAAAAGCACTTTAGCGAGAAAATCATGCTTGATTATTTAGACATTTCAAAAAAAAAAATTTTCCATTCCATAAATTAATGTCAAAAAGTTTTTATGCAATTTTTAGATAACAAAAAAAATTTTATTTTGTTTTTTTTTTTTTTTCTTTTTGTAATCATTCTTTTTTGTAACAGGAATTTAATAAATCATCGTGTAATTTGCTTGAGTTCCGGTAAAGAAATTCTATGCAAAGCAATTAGTTATTGCTATCATCTTTTATTTGCAACAACTTATGGAAAATTTGAAGAATTTGGATGTGATGAACCAAAAAATCAACAGCTGATCACATTTGCCTATACATTACCAACTGATAATTATCAGCAAATATGCATTTCATCAGGCTTGTTTCATGCTAAAACTTTAACTGTAATTGTTGAAGTTAAATTAAATGTAAAATGATTCACTATCAATTAATTTAATAGCAAGTTAGAATATAATGATAAGTGAAATAATTGCTTAATAAAAATATTATTTTTGAAACTTTTAATTCTATTTTCAAATTTATCATGAACAATTTTTGAAATTCAATTAAACCTATGTTTTAATGCTTCAATCAATTAAAAACTATACGAAGTAAGAATAATAATTTAATTTGCAGGAAGTACAAAATTGTGTCACTGTGCTGAATCAAAATGTAATGAGCAATGGATTGTTGATACAGTGCAACGAGAATTGAACACTGATCAAATGCTGTATTTACTGATCGGACTAGCATTTATCATTATATCATGGAATGTTCTTTTATGTCACATCAATTGGCAATGCAAGAAAATTACACTAAGCAGTTTTTCACTATTACTTTCATGCAATACTTTAACTAGCATTCAAAAATGTTCTCTTGTCTTTAATACTCTAAAGGTAAGAATGATAAATTAATGAATAGTTTTATAAAAATTATACAAATGCAATTCATTTCAATTTACTAATTATTTAAATTCAACTTTCATTAGCAACAAAAAAGAGTCGAAGCCTTATGAAAATACATATTTGATATTTAAAATTAAAAAATAGCTTTAAAAAAAACAAACAAACAGAAAAAAAGGTTAGACTTGAAAAATGAAAAAAAAATATGTATTATTATACCTATTTCTCCGAGATATTGCATAAAATTTTTTTTTGTTCTCCAATAATATAAAAATTCTATCATAGATTCGTATTCAGATAATCGTTTTGGCATGTTTACTTCTTGCATCATGGATTCCTGCAACAATAACCTGTAACAATCGTGGCATTGTAGGACGACATATAGTTGAGACAATATTTTTACTACAGATATTTAATAATTCGTCACCATTATCCCTAATTTTTATTCCATTCGGTTTACTACCATTATTGCACATTACAATTCTTGCACTATGCATGATCGTTACAGTTAAGTCATTTATGATACTTACTTTTTTTTTAATGATAATTAATCTTTATCTAAATATTTTGCTATAGTAAGAAAAATATGATACAAAGAAAGTCTGTTATTGTAAAGCCTAATAAGTAAATTATCAACTGCCAAAAAAGTTAAAAGGTATTAAATTGAAAATTGATTAGTTTCCGATTTCAATTTCTGTTTTAATTGGAATTTTCTTTAGATTAGTAATGAATCTTCTCATATACGTGCAATAAAAATATTTATAATATACTATGATTCTACATTCGCCACTGTTTACTATCTATCAGCATATTTCATGAGCAAAACAGTTAATTCATTTGAGAAATTATATCATCTGGAATGTTCTATTAAAACGAAACATTGGATGGTGAAAAAATTTAACTCTAATTCTAATCTTTCCCACTTTTTAAGATATAATTTTTAGGATTTGATATATGCAAGTTATCTGCTAAAAAAGTTTCAGAATCTGAAATATATTCACTCCTTTCAAATTAAATATTTAGTCTGAATTTTAGATGAATTACTGTGAAGATCAGAATTTATAAATTTTTCTATCAAGAATATTGATATTTTACTTCATTTTATAAGCAAAATCAGCCCAAAGTTATATTGTGGCCAAATTTTTACTTTTACTCAATTTTTTTTTTTTTTTTTGAATTTAAAATTCAAACTTTAATCCAGTATAAAAATACCGCTAAATAAACTTCCAATATCAAGATTTTCAATGCTGATTTCATTCCTAGCAATATTATCACCTTTATTTTATCAAATAGCAGTGGCTTTTAATTGCCACTATCACCACTAACTTATTATATAACCTCCAATTCCAAATGACCTTTTGAGTTTAACAATATCAAAGACAGAGAAAACAAACAAATAAAACAAAATAGGTGGCAGTGATATTTGCATACTTGATTGGTTTCTTGTATATGATAACTGCCTTTCTTGTAATTATCATCCGATTGATCGAAGCAAGCAGTAAAAAGAAGGAAAACAATTTGATAGACGAAGATAAGGCAGAATCACCTGGGCAAGTAAGCACTGTATCATTGAGTACCGCACATTCTATACCACTTCACTCGAATCATGGCACTATCGAATATTCACCACAGGTTGGCAATCTCGAAAAACGATTATCTTTATTTGACAAACATAAACAAATAAATGATAAGTATCTCCATGAATCTGAGGATACATTAATAAAGGTCTTCCGGTAAACCATTCAGTTATCAAAAAACTAAATTTATTAATCTCTCCGGAAAATCCTAATGACATAATTTTTATTTAATACTTACTTATTGTTTTATTTATTTTATTGATACGTATGATTTTACTTTTTTTTCCGACCCCATTAGAGGCACAATTTCTCTTCAAAATTCACTTATTATTTATTAAGTATTGTACGTAATTACTTACTGCTACCTCATTTACTACTACTTATCAAATTATTATATAAAAAAAAAGGTAGTTTCAGCCATTTGTTATCAGCAATGGTTGCAGTGGAATCCTAAGTCTGAAAAATACTTACTTCAATCAATGGATTGCTATTCGAATTCTCACCAACAATAATGAATTAACCATTCATCCAAACAAATTTCTGTTACCACCGGAGCGTACCAGTGCTGTGAGCATTTTTATAAAATTTGAAGCTAAAATGAATTCAGATTTCACCTATGCAAGTATTAATGCGTAAGCAAATAAATAGGTAATGGAAAACAGATAATAAATATTGAAATTATAAAAAGAAATTATATTTCATTTAGTTTCATAAAATATGAAATATAATTTCATTCTTCTAGCTCATCAAAAGAATAATTTACCTTCAAAATAAATTTTTCTTGATAGAGGACAAGGAGAAAAAGGAAAGAATTCGTTTATTTATTATTAAAAATAAATGAGAAAAAATTTAGCTAGTGAAAATTATTCACTGTAGTTTTTATTTATGATTTCAGTTTATTATCTATTTGTGAATAATTTTTAGCAGATAAATTATAACAACTAACAAAGTAAACAATTGAGATGTTAGTAGAAAGTAAATAAATAAGAAAAAAAAAAGTATTTAAAGTAAGTTTATTTAATAAATATACGAAAAAAATTTTTTTTCGTTTATTTTAGGCTGAAGTGACAATAACAAATGATATAGCAAATGAAGAAATACCTAATCGACTCCTTGTACAATGGTACGTGATAGGTGCGTATTGTCCAGCACGTAACGTAAATACCCTTTGGACAAGACCACATTATGTTCCACGTGATCAATGGCATTACAAAATTATTCGTGTCTATTCCGATTTCATTAAATCTTAACTGTCAAATGTAATTTAAAAATTTAAAAACTTCAATTAAAAACAACTAAAGACAATGCAAAGTGTTTAATTACAACAATAATAATAATCTTTCTACGTGAAATCTTTACTTATCCTATTGCTAACAAAAAAAGAAAAGAAAGCTCCATTTCAACTAATTTCATGAATTAATTTTCGTGACCTACGTAAGTCACGTGTAGTGATGATTTTAGGCTCGTACGTGTACCACCAAGACACACATGTATCTATAACTACTTTACCCCATAAATCTTAACGTCAGATGATATACTCTTCTATCTCACTAAACACAACGTTTCACACACGTTCTACGTGAAAAGGCTTGTATTCAAGTTGCAATGTAAGTTTAAGGTTGGTGCACTTCTAATAACGTCACCTGCATTTCCTCGGAAATAAGGTTGGATATCAGTTTTTTTTTTCTCTCTCTCTCTCTCTCTCTCTCTGAGAGACTATCAAGACAGGTACGAATGTGAAATAATTTTTTTTCTCAGAGAGATGTGTCAAAATTTATTTTTAAGCAATCTGATTTTTTTGTAACAAAAATATGTATTTATTTTGCACAAAAAAAGAAATGTAACTGTTTTTGGTTACATTGTCAGTATTAAAGTTTCATAATTCGATGCTTACATCAGCTAACAGTTTTAATTTTACTGTAATTTATTTTTAAGTCATACTTAAATTTTAAGTACGATTTATTTTTGATGTTCTGTTATGTTACGAACATTGTAGTGATTTTTTTTTTTAATTTTATTTTTAATTCTTAAGAGAAAATAGCATTTGGAGAGAATATCTGTTATTTGTAATCAATACGGAAAGACTTACTTTTTTTGTAGTTTTGTTCGAGTTCTTTTGCTTGATTAATTTATTGATAGTAATAATTTTCGATTATAAATTTTGTTGAATAATAATTAATTGAAGATAAATTGATAATATTGCAGAGTATGTCTATGGATTTAATAACGATACTACTGGGATTGTTGATGTCATGTATTCCTGTCGCTCTCACTTGCCTTTATCTTTTATCATGGATTACTCCTTGGCCTATTCGAACACGAAAAGATCTATTAGAACCAATGTTTGTTTATGCTCCCGTTAATCCTTGGAACGAAAAGTTCAGGTCATTGTTAAGTTATGATGATTCATCCGGAGAGGAACTCCATTGCACCACACCAGATTTATATCTTTCCGTTATTGTCCCAGCTATGAATGAACAGGTAATTTCTGTTATCAGCCTTGTTTTTTTTATAATTAATGAATTCTTTAAATGTTATAAAACGAAATCTTAAAGATTTCGTTTTATAACATTTATGATCAAGTTTTTTTTATTCTTTTAAGGAGTGATTATTATTTCCTCATGTGTTTTAAAGTTTATATTTGACTTTAAAATGATTATAGAACATTAACTAAGTTAGATTGTAATCAAGATACGCATGTATATGTAAATATGCATGTAGCTCGTTGGACTTAAAGTGTAACATAAATTAACTGAATTATTTCCAGGAAAGGCTTCCAATCATGCTGGATGAATGTCTACCATATCTAGAAGGTCGACAAACTAAAGATGATTTATTTACATACGAGGTAAATGTTTTAAGAAACTAGTGGTTAAGAATAAATGTTATTGAACGAAGATTTCTTTTTTTTCCTGATTTCAATAATCTCACTATGAAATGTATAACAATTTCGTTCTTTCTTTTGCGACGTAAAAATCGTTTAAAAACTAAGAGATATTGATTAAACTGAGAATTTAATGTATTTCAGTTGGGAAAATAATTTCATCAGAAACAGCAATGACATTGATTTTTTATTTCGTTAGATGTTTGATGACACTGTTGCAGATTATTGTGGTAGACGATGGTAGTACAGATAGAACTGCTGATACGGCTTACAAATATACGGAGAAGTATGAGGGGAAAATCAGAATTTTGAAGCTAGAAAAGAACTTGGGAAAAGGTATTTAATTCTCTTTGTTTTTTGGAAATTTTACTGTTAATAATAATGTTGTAGGTGGAGCGGTACGTAGAGGTGTATTATGTGCACGTGGTTCGTTAATTCTATTTGCCGATGCAGATGGTGCTACAAAATTTGCTGATTTGCAACGTTTAGAAGAAGAATTGCTTGGTTTAACAACTCTAGATGGTTGTGTACCGGAAATAAGAAGCGACGTTAATTGGATTACCCCTGCTATAGCTATTGGTTCAAGGTTCGTTTAATTTAGTTCGATAGGGAATTTGCTTCAATAAAGAATTATTGGATACAGAATGTTGTTTACTTTAAAAAAAAAAAAAAAGACGAGGCTTTGTTTTATCATATTAAACTTTTTTTTTACTTCGTTAGATAATTACCTAAATAATTATCATCAGAATATTAATTGAAACTTTTCTAGATTCTAACATTTAAAAGGATGAATTTCTTTGCAGTAATTTTGCCCATTTGTCACTTCTCTTTTTAAAATTCCTTATGTGTTCATCCAGTTCATGTATATTGTGCTTCTTTGCATATTTGAATATGGATGATAACAGTCTGATTATCATTTAAAGCATCAATTTCATCGCCAGTCTCAGTACGAACATGCTATTGCGTAGAATATTCTAAAGCATCAAACTATTTTTTATTGACATTTGCAGATAAAGATCAAACAGATAAATAGGCATGTTTACAATTTCATATAAAATAAAAGAAAACGAATGTATATTCTGTTTTTCTTCTAGATCACACATGGAGAAAAAAAGTATAGCAACACGTTCTCTAGCACGAACCTTTCTGATGATAGCTTTTCATTGGATTGTGTACATTTTCACTGTAAGAACAGTACGTGATACTCAGTGTGGATTCAAATTATTTACACGTGGAGCAGTTTCAAAGGTGAATTTCCTGATGTCCTTAATTAGCGTACAAGAGTACATAGGCATTGATAGCGGGTTTATAAATAAATAAATCTATTTAAATCAATGAATTTATTGCATTTTTTATGTATACCAGATGTGTGATTTTCGATTTTCACCAGAAAGTATTCTACCAAAAAATTGCAAAAACTCGAATAGAATTGTAAAAAAAGAGGATATTTTCCAAACCATAATTTTTCTATTAAAATATAGAATAGACGAAATGATAGAGTATGTTTCCGAAGGCAGTGAATAGAAAATATAACTTATTATGACATCACTTGATTACCTATGCAACAGTACCCACTTAAGCTGTTTTGTTAGTTTATGATAGCAATAAGTGAATGAGAGAGAGTGAAAGAGATTATTGCATATTGAAAGATTATGTATATAGAAGTATAATTTCTAAAAGTTGGATTTAAATATTTCATTAAATATGTGCGTGTATTACAGTTATTCCCACTGCTGCATATCGAACGATGGGCGTTTGATGTTGAATTGTTATTTCTTGCCGAGCAATTTAGCATTCCAATTCGTGAAGTACCTGTAACGTGGCATGAAGTTGATGGCTCAAAAATAGTACCAATAATTTCATGGCTTCAAATGGGTCGTGATCTGATACTGATATGGTTTCGATATAAAACTGGCATTTGGAAGTGTAGTTTACATTAGAATTTATGACTTTAGGTCAGATTTAAATATCCTGTATTACAGCACATTATTTTAAGCACATGCTTGTTGCAATATGTATTTAATTATATGATTATATTCAGTGGAGGATTCGTCATGTTACCACATATTTTTTCTTCCGGTAGCCAACTGATATTTGATAACGTTTGCACTGGCTTTAATTTTCTGATAGTGTTTCATAACATATTGATGATTAAATAATACAAGTGATTAAATATATCAATTATCATTTTCATATTTCGATATAATATATACCCAAGCTGTAATATATATTTGATCATTTATATTATTTAATCATTTTTAATGGTATTAGCTGGCATCTTTCATATGAATATGATACTTAGATCTGTATTGAGCATAACGCATTCATTTTATGGGTGTTTTTTTATCTTATCTCTAATTTTTATTGACATTTGTTTATATCTTTATTGGGATATGGTATCAACAAATATGAAATAAGCTGTGATAATTTCAACTTTTTGGCCTTTTTCTTTTTACTGTTATTGTTTTCTTGTTATGTTATTTTCTGTTTTTGATTCTTTTGCTTGTTGTTTAAAGTATTTCTTTCAGAAGTATCATAAAATTTTCGGCACTACTTTTATAAATGATCGGTTCATGGACTGGTCTTCAGCCGTTTGTTCATTCGTTAATGAAGTATTGCTGGTTATTTGTTCATTCCTTAAACAGCTTACCAGTTTAATCACTGTTCAAAGAATGTTAATTTTAAATTTGATTAAGTCAAACAAAGGCAGAGCTTTCAAAAAAGTTGATGGAATACAATTTTGCAAAATATGTTGCAGTATTATTATCTTTTGCAGAACAATGTCTGGAAGTTCAAGGAGATCTCGTCGGAAAAGTGAACAAAATACCGGCAACAAACTCGTTATGGATGCAGAAAGAGTGTTAAATGTAAGTTTGTAAAGTCCGTTCTAAGTTTTTTGTTTTTGTGTACAATTCTATTAGAGTTTGCAAGTAGTTATTCCTGGTCATGTGAATTGCAATTTATGATATCAAAGAAGTTATATCATTTAACACATTTTTGACGAGAAGAAGAGACAAATTTTGAGCGTTCATTATTTTTTGAGAAGCATTTTCTTTATTATGTAATCTTTTTCTTATAGAGAAATTATAGAATTAGCTGAAGGAGCAATAATTAATTGATGAAAAATCAAATTAATATGAGGAATAAGCAAACTTTATGGTTCAGTATGTTTGAACTTTATGACTTTAAAAAATTGGTTTTTAAAGAAGAATGTATACGATAGCTAACTTCTTGCTGTTTTAAATCTGGTTATGGTACGTTCGAAAAAAAAAGAATGGTTGTTTACAGACGTACGATACTGATAGTGATTTTGGCAACAGTACGATTCAGTGGGATGTAACTGCGTATATATCAGAAATCAAAATA